AATTTTTGAGATGACTGCTGGCGCTTGGCAATGGCCAAATTCCTGTTCATGTTTCAACTCGATTGTTGTCATCGAAGGAAGAACTAATCACTAAAGTGTTCCGGCATTGCAAAAAATCATAAAAATCTTGATTGGATTAGTGAACGGTAAATACTAGCAGCGAAAAATAAGGATGTCGGAAAGCTTGAATTCCATTATTCAAGATCAAATCGCTGGATAGCAAATCTGTTGATAGCGTGACCGACGAGGATGATGCGACAAACTATCCCACAGAATTTTTAAACGGAATTGATACGCGATCATAATGTTGAGGAATCTGAATCATCCGAAACTTCGCAACGGTACGCGGTTGTTCGTTCGCCGAGTGCGCTAGTGGAACATACATTTTACAGCAAGAAAATAACAGATCAAAAATTTAATTTTAGCGCGTAAAATTTATGGTACATAATATGTACTACATATATACATATATATAATCCTAAAAAAAAATTATTTATTAAAAGTTTATCGCTTTTCGTTGAAAATGAACAAGTCCACAAAAAAGTAACTCAAAATTGTATACATATCAGGGAACTGCAAAAATCACATTTTTCTTGATTTACTCATGAGCTAAAGTTCTTACTCACATGCAATCGCTCAAAAATACTCAGCGCTGAATAAAGTCGTCTTGCGCTATCAACGCTTCGGATCACTTTTTAGCTTAGGGTAAGAAACAGCTCTACTCATATATAATCACTCAAAATACTCAGCGTTGAATAAACTCAGCTTGTGCTGGCAATCTCCTCGTTCGCTTCAATTCTTACTCACACAAATTCCAGCTTCGTATACAAAACAATCATATCCAACATGTATGTGAAAGGGCTTAAACGCATACATGCAAAGTCGATGCCGACGGTTTCGACCGAAGAGCCGAACGGTGCAAATTTCCAGCCGAAGAGGTCTTCGGACACATGTGCATGGCTGTGTGTGGAATGCTTCTTGACTTAAATAAAATCATACGAACTGAGTTTACTCATTTGCGTCCTTGGTCATAGTCAATAACATCATTGCTGAGCCGAAGTAACAGACACCCGAATAACGATCGAGCATGAATAAACTCAGCCAGAATAAAAGAAAGCACAGCTTGAGTGATTTAAAATCATCTGCGAATATGTGCGCATGCAAGTGTGCATCCGTCAACGCTGAGTGAGCTTACTCGGGTGATTTTTTTGTCTAAACGTATTTGCAATCAACCGATGCCGTTCTCTGATACATATATGAGCATCAAGTCTCTTTCCTAAATGTATATTTTACATGTTTTCCATAATTGTTTTGATTAAGACTAGACTCTTTGTTATGAGAATGACTTAATTACCTGCGCCTGTCAATGTAAGCAAATATTCCGCGACATTTCGTCTATTCTGAAATATGTGCATCAGCTGCGCAGCTCATATATTTCGTATGCTATCATGAAATATTCCATTCACCTAGGAAAAATAAATAAACATACGTAAGCTATAACACAATGAAGGTAACTTAGTTCGAAAAACAAAACAAACATACACCAGCTCCTGCAGTTGAATTCACAGTTATGTTCAAAAAACATTTTATTAGGACATCATATACAGTACTCAAAAAAGAGTTAGTGGGTATGTTAGATTACACTAGTCAACACGATTTTTCCTCAAGGAACAAAACGAACTTTTTCTTAAAGATTTGGGGCTTAGAAATGGTTTGATGATATATTTTTTTTTCTATGGCAGAACTTTTTTCTAAAGAATTTTTGAAAACTGGTATTTTTTTCTTAACCTTTTTTCAGAGGTAGCGATGGTTTTTTTCATATAACCCTAGTATCTTACGTCTGGTTGTAAAGAACTTTGCTATTTTGAAAAGATAACACTACTCGACAAAATCGAACTTTTTTTTTCCTCAAGGATCCAAACCAACTTTTTCTGATAGATATGGGGATTTAAAATTTTTTAAAAAATTATGGTTTTTTTTCTAAAGCAGAACTTTTTTTTGAAGAATTTTTGAAGTCTGGTATTTTTTTTTAAAGCTTTTTTTAGAGGTAGCGCTTGTTTTTTTCACATAGCTCTAGCATCCTACGTCTGGTTGTAAAAAACTTTGCTATTTTGAAAAGGTAATTAAAACAGCTAGAAGTTAAGCCCAAATACTTTGTGATTTCAGCTTACCGTCTGGGAAATATAAAGCATTGAAATGCAGAAATGATGATTTTTGTGCGGTATTTTTTACGAAATTTTGACTTTAAAAACTCAGGAAAAGTCGTTCTCTATTTTTTTGTGTATAGGTGCGTTAATTTGGCGTCGTTTAAGGTATCGCTAATTAAAATCTATGGAGAGACTTTGGAGCTAAAATTCGTTAACTAAACCTAAAAAATGAACAAAATGAACAAAAAATACCTTTTTGATGGTTGCGGGCCCAACTTTTCCCAACGACTTTTCCTGAGTTTTTAAAGTCAAAATTTCGTAAAAAATTAACGCACCTATACACAAAAAAATAGAGAACGACTTTTCCTGAGTTTTTAAAGTCAAAATTTCGTAAAAAATACCGCACAAAAATCATCATTTCTGCATTTCAATGCTTTATATTTCCCAGACGGTAAGCTGAAATCACAAAGTATTTGGGCTTAACTTCTAGCTGTTTTAATTACCTTTTCAAAATAGCAAAGTTTTTTACAACCAGACGTAAGATACTAGAGCTATGTGAAAAAAACAAGCGCTACCTTTGAAAAAAGCTGAAAAAAAAAATACCAGACTTCAAAAATTCTTCAAAAAAAAGTTCTGTCATAGAAAAAAAACCATAATTCTTTAAAAAATTTTAAATCCCCATATCTATCAGAAAAAGTCGGTTTGGATCCTTGAGGAAAAAAAAAGTTCGATTTTGTCGAGTGGTGTTAGTGGTAAAAGTGGATGTGTGTAACGCAGAGAAGGAAACGTTTCCGACCCCATAAAGTATATATATTCTTGATCAGCATCAATAGCCGAGTCGATATAGCCAAGTCTGGCTGTCCGTCCGTCCGTCCGTCTTGTTGAGCGCCTGGATCTCAGAGACTATAAAAGTTTGGGTAACCAAATTTGGTTTCCAGACTCATGTGATATCACACTGCTACAAGTGTATTTCAAAATTTCGCCCCGCCCCCTTCCGACCCAACAAAGGACGAAAATCTGTGGCAGGCATAATTTTAATGATACGATAAAACTAAAAACGCAGTATCGTAGAGAATGACAATATCTATCAGATTGCTGAATCTGAATCAGATCGGATCATAATTATAGCCATAATTATAGTCATAATTATAGCCCCAGCCAACACTAATCATTCTCTTTCTCGCTCGCACACTCTGCCGCGTTCAGTGTACAAGCAACCCCTAGCGGAGAAGATGTAGAATCTAAATGGTACATGTATAATCTACATGTTAGATGTAGAATATACATAGTATATGTAGATGTAGATATCAGATGTAGCAAAAAAATGTAATATGTAAAATTTTTTTTTCTTTTTTTAAATTCTAAAAAATTATAAGCTCAAAAATGTATATACTGACTGAGTACGGGTATAAATAGAGTCGCGTCCCCAGAAGCGACTCACACGTTCCTTCTCGTTATATATATTATTATTATATTATATATTATTATTATATTATAATATTATTAATATTATATATTATTATTATATTATATATATAGATATATATATTAGATTTTTGGAAAAAATGGATTTGTGCAACGCAGAGAAGGAAACGTTTCCGACCCCATAGAGTATTTATATTCTCGATCAGCATCAACAGCCGGATCTCAGAAACTATAAGAGCTAGAGAAACCAAATTTTGTTTCCAGACTCATGTGATATCACACTGTTACAAGCATTATTTAAAATTTCTCCCCCGCCCCCCGAAAAACGTAGAGAATGGCCATATCTACTAGACTGTCGAATCTGGTTTGGATTGGATCATTATTATAGCCAGAATGAAGAAATTAATTTTCAGTTGCTTACCCCGCCCTTCGCAGCGTAAAAGACGCTACTTATTCTCTTTCTCGCTTGCACAAACTTCACTGTGCAGTGCTCGACCTTTCGCGGAGAATATGTATAATCTAGCTGACAGATGTAAAAAAAAATGTGTATAAAATATTAAAAAATTCGACATAAATCATAAGCTCACATATATATATACTGACTGAGTACGGTTATAAGTAGTGTCGCGTCCCCAGAAGCGACTCACACGTTCCTTCTCGTTTTACATAGTTTTTTCTTACACAATATAATATTTTTTTTTGTATAATCCAGCATAAAAAGCAGCCACCGAGAGGGAAAAATAGATAACGGGCAGGAAATGAATGATAACTTATGGTCTTTTCACACTGCCGACCATCTTCCATCCATATCTGGGAATGTTCGTAATAGCCTTTTTACACTGGCGAACATCCTCCATCTATTTTTGGAAGGTCCATAAGGTTTTGCCGCTCCAAAAATTTCCCTGTTATTTATTTTTTATTACTTTGTATACGTGCTATAAGAATTTTAAAGCCATTAGAAAAACAAGCGGCAGCTTGAAGTGGTTTGCCATGCTTATATGTATATAGCCCAGTCCAAGATAGCGGCTGGAATTGTACATATAATTCTTAAATCTCCGTCTTTTCGAATTCATTAATTATTGACTCATTAGTCATTTGTAAGATTATTAGCTTGTGAAAGCTTGTGTGTTTGTTGAATAACAGCCAAGACAATTGACATATTAATATCCATAATTTCCGCACAAGTCTTTGTTCTATTATTCTCATCATCTATTTTTCCATGGTGGATAGTGCCAGTGGGATTCGGAGTGTCACATCTGTCAAATATTCCAACCATTCCTTAAAGATGTATTTTGTGGTATCAGGCTATTAGAAGCCTGAAAGAGCTGTAATTACATCATAGAAATATTTTCCGTGTGCCATTTTTGCTTGTACCGAAAGGTTGCAAACTTTATAGCGCTAACTTGACTCAATATTCGATTTACTCTTAAATGTAATTTTTATCGCTAAAATATTTAGGTGCCCGCAAACATATTTTGAATTGCTTATCTGTTACTATATGCAGAAGATTATTATAGAATGGAACAAATTTTTGTGGCCAAAGAAAATCCAGGTACATATCATTATAAACCAATCGATGAACTTTCGCATTTTATGAGGTTTTATCCATTTATTTACATTTAGTTCCGTCGATATCCCTAAAAACGAATGGATTGACTATAAATAATAGTACTAGAAAACAAAATGCCAGAAAATTAGTACTGGGAAAACTGGATAATATGCTGCGTCAGAACCAAACTCCATTTAACGTCGATACCTTATCATGCCCTAAGAGCTTTGCAAAATTACCACTTCAGTATTGCCATAGACATAATGAACGTGGAGAAGTCAATCTGAAATGTACACCTAGTTACTTGGGTCTCTACTCTTTGAAAAATGAAGTCTGTTTCCAGAGTGCCTATGAAAATTTATTTGATTATATGGACTTTTCAAATACGAAGTGTTTGAATAAATGCTGGAGACGTAAGTCGCTTTAAAATGTTATATGTATACGTGTTCACATATTTAAATTACCTTAGAGCAGTCATAACTTAAAAATCGCAGATTTTGAGCTCATTCGGTGGCAGATATGTCCGTTTTTCAAACCATCCCGAGCCCACAATACCAGTCTCTAACGGCGTGGCTTCCAGACTATCCCGAGGCCCCGAAGAAGTTAAGGCCCCTTCGAGTACCAAGTCACGACTTCTCAGAAGGGCATGAAATCTGTAGGTACAGGCGATGCTAAACAGTATATTTTAGATGGGGGCAGCGTCCTATGCACAGTGCATAGTAAAGTGTTCTTTGCCTGCTGTTTACTCACACAAATGCACTAAAAACATGTGAATATATACGTGCCGATCCCAGCTCCATTTCCTCGTCCAGCCCATGCAACTGCGACACAAGTAATGTACCCCGTTATGAATTCTGTCAATGTTCGCACCCCGTTTTCCAGCTCAGGAGAGTTTGTGCGTACCCGTACTCAAAAAAGAGTTAAGAGGTATAATAGATTTGTGGTAAAAGTGGATGTGTGCAACGCAGAGAAGGAAACGTTTCCGACCCCATAAAGTATATATATTCTTGATCAGCATCAATAGCCGAGCCGATATAGCCAAGTCTGTCTGATGTTAGATGTAGAATATACATAGTATATGTAGATGTAGATATCAGATGTAGCAAAAATATGTAATATGTAAAATTTTTTTTTTCTTTTTTTAAATTCTAAAAAATTATAAGCTCAAAAATGTATATACTGACTGAGTACGGGTATAAATAGAGTCGCGTCCCCAGAAGCGACTCACACGTTCCTTCTCGTTATATATATTATTATTATATTATATATTATTATTATATTATATATTATTATTATATTATATATTATTATTATATCATATATTATTATTATATTATATATTATTATTATATTATATATATAGATATATATATTAGATTTTTGGAAAAAATGGATTTGTGCAACGCAGAGAAGGAAACGTTTCCGACCCCATAGAGTATTTATATTCTCGATCAGCATCAACAGCCGGATCTCAGAAACTATAAGAGCTAGAGAAACCAAATTTTGTTTCCAGACTCATGTGATATCACACTGTTACAAGTATTATTTAAAATTTCTCCCCCGCCCCTTTCAGCCTTCGCAAAGAACGAAAATCTGTGGCATCCACAATTTTGATGATACGAGAAAACGAAAAACGTAGAGAATGGCCATATCTACTAGACTGTCGAATCTGGTTTGGATTGGATCATTATTATAGCCAGAATGAAGAAATTAATTTTCAGTTGCTTACCCCGCCCTTCGCAGCGTAAAAGACGCTACTTATTCTCTTTCTCGCTTGCACAAACTTCCCTGTGCAGTGCTCGACCTTTCGCGGAGAATATGTATAATCTACATTTTAGATGTATAATCTACATTGTAGATTAAGATGTAGCTGACAGATGTAAAAAAAAAATGTATAAAAAACATTAAAAAATTCGACAAAAATCATAAACTCACATATTTATATACTGACTGAGTACGGGTATACAAGTAGAGTAGCGTCCACAGAAGCGACTCACAACGTTCCTTCTCGTTTTTTTTTTTGGTTTATGGTTAAGGCAAGCTCCGACTTTCACTTACTTTTCCATTTTACGTTTTTAGCCAAAAGTCATATGGTTCATTTCAAATCGTTCTGACATTCGCAAAAGTGTGGTTTATTTCCTCCTGTACTGCTAAGCGCAAAATTTACTGCTGTTATACCCACGCGTTAGTGCCAGCTTATACAAAAAGGACTCTGTTATGTTAAACATGTTATGTTCGGAGGAAATCATTACTTTTTGTTGCCCTAACCTTTTTTTTCAGATCTAATTTTGAGGTTGGTTTATTTAAAAATTATTTATATCGAGAAGGATCTGGGAACGCGACTCTACTTATACCCGTACTCAGTCAGTATATACATTTTTGAGCTTATGATTTTCTAGAATTTTAGAATTAAAATCTACAATGTATATTTTACATTTAACATGTAGATTATAGTTGTACCATTTATATTCTTCATGTCCTCCGCTAGGGGTTGCTCGCGCACTGAACGCGGCAGAGTGTGCGAGCGAGAAAGAGAATGAGTAGCTTTCTGGCTGAAGTAGACGGGGGAAGCAACTGAAAATTAATTTATTCATTCTGGCTATAATTATGATCCGATCTGATTCAGATTCGGCAATCTGGTAGATATGGTCATCCTCTACGATACAGCGTTTTTAGTTTTATCGTATCATTAAAATTATGCCTGCCACAGATTTTCGTCCTTTGTTGGGTCGGAAGGGGGCGGGGCGAAATTTTGAAATACACTTGCAGCAGTGTGATATCACATGAGTCTGGAAACCAAACTTGGTTTCTCTAGCTTGTAATGTCCGATCTCAGGCTGAGGTATGCTTCAGTCTGTCCAGGGTCCTGAATTACAAGTTATTTATAATTCGCAGGACTTTATTTGGAAAACCAGGAACTTTGCCAGCAACTGAAAATGGGTTAGCGAAATCACAACACTCTTGGTTACTTGACTTTTAAAAGATATCTTTATTCTTCCGTATTATTATGCTACCCGGTTATGTTGTGTTATTTTTATTTGTTCTACGACGCGTATTGTGGTTTGACTTGCGTGTTTGTTATTTGCCTGACTGCTACGGCTGGTGGACTCTCCTCCTCGATGGCTGGTGGACTCCATTTAATAGATCGGCCGGCCTTCCATTTTCCCATGAATGTCTTACAGATATTTTATTTCTACTCCAGAATGTGGGAAGGGTTCTTACATAAATATATATTGCCGAATTATAGTCTGCGCGTGCAGACTGGCTGATCGGTAACAGAAGGTTACCTAATCATTAGCCCTGTAGTCAGTGTCCAGTATTCCCGGTAAAGAAAGTCGGAGACTGCTCATGGGCTCGCGCATGTGAGTGTCCAATGTCCCAGGTAAGGTGATCGATGTGCACCGGTACCGTGGGAAAGGAATTTTGCTGGCACTTCGCGTTTCTTGAGGGGGATACTAGTGGGAAAGGAATGCCATTTGGGGAAATTTGAGGTTTATTTAGTGTTACAGATATTTTTATATATATATAGAGATATTGTCAACTTAAAAACAGGTGTTGCCTGCGTTGTGACGAACCATGGGGAACCATGGTTTACATACCAGGTCCCATTTAGCGCGATCCGGTGGGAATACGTCACCAGATAGGTCCCAGAGATGTTCTTTCGAGCGCCAGTCTCCTCCAGAATGGTCACTTGCGCGTCGTTAATGATGATGGTTGGAGCTGATTGCCTCTAGATGCCCTGGCAGCGTTGCGCAGTGGGCGACGGACCCTGCCATCATCTGCTGGGCGCAGGTGTTCCCTTGATATTGCCGGCAGAATGTTGCACCGACGGTAGCCTCGCAGTCGCCAACTTTGACGGCTTGTGTTCCACATTCTGCTACGATGTTTCCCTCGCTGAAGTCCAGTATTTTCCGTTGGTGTTGTACTGGGAATAAAAGTATTTTTCGGCATGTTCGTTTGGGTTGGGGGAACTTTATCAGGAACGTGTGAGTAGGTCGCTGCTCTGGAAGACGCTCACTTTTGATACTCCCAAAAGTTCTACCAAGCTGAGGTTGGCTGAGGCCTCGAACTCTTGGATGTCGGCGCCGTCTAGTAGGGCTCGTGCCAGAGTTAGGCCGAGGATGAGGTTTTCCAGATCGGTGATAATAATTCTGTTTTTAACCAGAATTATCTCCACCAGTTGGTTTCTCTCGGCGTCGTCGGATTTGTTTATAGTGTTCATGTAATGGGTCAGCTCATTTAGGCGGTCCTGGATCTTGGTGTTGATCTCCATCTGGTTGGCCTCTGCTTCCACCAGTTGGCCTTGTTTAAAGCGTACCTGTTCCCAGTCGTTGATATCGGGGGTGCCGGCGATAACTTAAAGGGCCGTCCCGAGGATGTTGATGCTCCGCCTTTCTCGATGGTGGATTTTTAGCGTATAATCTCTACGCTATTGCGGATGTGGCCTAAGTCGGTAGTAATTACATCGGTCATCCGATTGACGGCGAATAGTTCGGCGGCCTGTTCTGTTTGGACCACATATTCTTTGTAAGAGGTTACGTTTGTCGTGTGGCGTAGGTATCCGTAGCTATCCCAGATGACGGCATTTCCATCCACTATGGGGATGTAGTCGGCGGTCGTATAGTCATGTAACTTGACTAGTGCCTGGGCCGTCGTGATCATGGTGAAAAGAATCAATGTAGTGTCCATACTGTTTAGGCTGCGGTAGATGTAGGTGTTGGTTAGGTATTTCGATGGGAGTTCAATTAACGGTGGGTAACTTGTAGAAATGTCTTTCGCTCGAAATAAGAAGCGAACTGATTTACCGGGTTTCGCCTTAGCGGGTTGAGCGACACTTTTCCAGGTTATTGGTGGTATTTTGCTGCGGGGGGTGATCGCCTTTTCTTGACGTTCGATGTCACGTGTGCTGAGTCCTCGGTTTTTTTCTGTCTGTTGGCCGCGCGTGTGCTGAGGATGATATTTATTTTTCTTTGTCTTGTCTCTTGCTGTTTCCATTTTCGTGGATTTTGGTGGCGCATGTGCTGAGTTTTCATTTCTTTGGGTGTTGAACTCGTCATTTGAGAGCGTTCGTTACTTCCGTTGTGGTGGGGGTTGGTTACGTCTTCTGAGCTAGAGGGTTTTGGGTCATTGGCTGCGCGCGTGCTGCGTTCTCGCCTTTAAATTCGTTGGCTTTGGCTGGTCAGCTGCCAATGTATGGAACCAAAGTCGTAGCTAGGGGGATTGCGGGGGGGCTAGTGGTAGTATTTGCCTCGTCGGTTGCATCCCTGCCCTCGTGGAATTCCTTCAAGTCGTTGATGTTAGCAACCTTCGATTTTCGGTTGCCCGGATGCTGTAGTTTTAAAATTTTCGGTGATGCAAAACCTTTGACTCGGTAGGGTCCATCGTATTTTGGTGCCAGCTTAGCGGCGAATCCGTCGGCCGCGTTGGAGAGGTGGTGTTGTCGTAGGAGTACTAGGGATCCAATAGTGGGGCGCCATTGCCGGCGGCGGAGATTGTAATGCCTTCCTTGTTCTTGGCTTGCCCATGGATGTTATTTCTGAAAATGGTGAATACTTCGCTGAGTTTGTTGGTTGCCTTGCCGAGAGCGGTCTCTGGGGGGCTTCCGGTGCCTGCCGTGGCTTCGTCATAGAGGGCTCCAGGCAAACGGGGCTCTCTT